TCTGCCTTCTTACATTTTTAATGTCTTTTGTAAACATTATAACCCTGATCCTATGGTTTGTCTAATCTTTCACTGGAATGTTGTTTGTTCATTTCTTGTAGCACTGGTCCACTTAATTTGTTTCTACAACTTGTTTATGATTACTTTCTAGCTATTACTAACTGACTGCTCACTTTTTCTCAGCTGTAATGTGTGATAAGAATAGCATTACTTAAAAGCTTTGTAAGGATTCTTGCGCAGTTGAGGAAAATAATTGATATATGTATCCTGTAAGTCATGAATAAAGACTTCCTTATGAACATATTTACTTATCAAGAAAACAAACAACAGATGCTGGTGAGGATGGGGGAAAGGAACCCTTATACACTCTTAGTGGAAATGTAAATTGGTATACCACTGTGGAGATCAGTAAGGAGCTTCCTCAAAACACTAAAAATAGAGCTGCCATGTGATTCTGCTCTGCCACTCGTGAGGCGTTCATCCAAAGGAATGCAGTCAGCACACATAGAGACACCTGCACACCATGTTAATCCGCCTAGGTGTTCATCATCTCATGAACGGATAAGGAAAAAGCTGAGTATGGAGTATTATTCAGCCATAAAGAAGAATGAAAACATGTCATTTGCAGGAAAATGGATGGAACTGAAAATTATCATATTAAGTGAAATAAGCCAGACTGAGAAGGACAAAGATCACATTTTCTCATTTGTGGAATCTAGTCTGGCAGGAAAAAGAACGGCATGAGGATAAAATGGAGGACCTGCTGGGGTGAGGAGCCAGCGGGAAGGTGGTAAAAGAGGGTGAAGTCGGGGAAATATGGCAGAGCGGTTCATATGCAGGCAAGAAAACAGAATGCCGAAGCCTGTTGAAGTTGTTTGAAAAGGTGCGAGACAATGGAGAGTAACAGAGGGCATGAATTTGATCAAAGTATGTCATACACAAGTATGGAAGGATCACAGAGAACCCTTTGTACAGTTAACACATGCTAATAAAAAAGAAAAATGAAAGCAGCATATTTATTTTATAGTATACAAATATTTAATAAGGAAGATTATATATGACATATATATCACATAATCTTGTGATACCTGATGCCTAGTCGTAGATTAATTATAAGTATTACTATTTTACAGCACCATTATGATTGTGGTTTTAGTTGCTGCACCATTTCTATTTACTTATTTGTTTTTAATTTATATTTTGTAGTGCGGGGATTGACCCCAGGGCCTTGCACCTATTAGACAAGAGCTCTGCTGCCAAGCTGTACCTCCTGCCCTCTAGCTTGTCCTTTAGTTCTTTTTTCTTTCACCCCTTCTTTTGGGCTGAATAGTTTTCCTTATCCCAACTTTTGGGGGTTAATTTAGAAGGTGTTTGTGCTATTTTTCATTTTCTTAATGGTTACCCCAGAAGTTGAAACTCGACAGGCACTGATCCTAACTCTGAAATTAAACACTAGTTTTACTCTCTTTGAAATCTTTAAAACTGAAATCAAAGCACCTGATTTATATCTTTGATTCCAGTCATTCCTTCACCAGTTCTTGTGTTATTTTACTGTATTTGTTAATTCCATCATGTTTTAATTACTTTATTCCATTGTGTTGTGTGACATACAGGTTTAGGTTTCCATTGCTCAGAGGTACAAATGTATTGCTCTGTTCTTCCTCTTTGTGTCATTTCATCTGGCATCAGCTTTCTCGGCTTGTAGTTCATTCTTTTGAATTCTCTATTGGATTTTTGGTGGTGGAAAACTCTGTTTTGCTAAAATTGTCATTGTTTCACCTGTTGAAAAGTATTGCTATCAGCACATTCTCAGAGATTTTCACTGACTTTTTGCCAGTGAGAGGTCAGCTGTCAATCAAATTGCTACTTCTTTGAAGGTCAATGTCTTGTCTTTCTCGCTTTGCTTAAGGTCCTCCTTTTCCATCTAATTGGAAATTGGATCATGATATGTTGATTGACACATCATGGGTTTTCCTGTTTGTTTGTGTTGGTGGTACTGGGGTTTGAACTCAGGACTCCCTCACACTTGGAGGCAGGCACTTTACCACTTGAGTCACTCTGGCAGCCCTTGATCGTGTGTTTTAAATGCTATTCCATTTGGAATTTACTGGGTTTCCTCAATCTGTGGACTTTCGTCCTTGTTAGCTATCATATGTTCTGTCATTTCTTCACATACTTCCTTTCCTCCACGCTCCTTGTCCTTTCCTCCAGAAACACTCATTACATACAGAAGACCTGATTTTCTCCTCCAGGTTCTCTTAAGTCTCTCATATTTTCTGGTCTTTCTTGGCTTCATTTTAAAATAATGTCACTCATTCCCTCTCCCAGTCCCTAGTTCTTTAACTGGGCTTACAATCTATTTGTTTAATTGTTCATTCCAGTTCTATTTTTCATCTGTAGGAGCTCCGTTTGGTTCTTTTATGATGGTCTAGCCCCTTCCCATTTTAATACTTTTCATTTCTCATATCAAGTTATTTTGCTGTGTCTAATAAGTCTAATATCTGATTTTTGTTTCCTCTATTTCCCACACATCCTGCATTGTTTCCTAGTGCAGTTAATGACTTTGTTTTTTTTAAACTCTGAATTATTAATTTTCCTCACAGAAACCCCTGTAGCTTTGAGGTAAAAGTGGATTCCTCCAGAAACAACTTTGGCTTCTGTAAGATGTCTCGCACGTGGGTAGGGGTTGGGGGCGTGGAGCTATCAGTTATGAACCTTTCTGAAATTAACAAATAAACCGAGGTCTAAAGCAGTTATTTAGGGAGTGTGATTTGGGACTTCCAATTCGGGTGGAAATCGAAGGGTAAAGCAGGGTAGTTTTATTTCCACCGTCCAGGTAGGGTAAGAGGACAGTAATTTCAACTCACCTTTTACTGAAGGTGCAATCATTTGCCTCCTAAATTAATGGAGAACAGTTTTCTACTAGAGTCCCAGTGTGGGCCTTGGGCTGAGCCTTGTTTCCTCCAGTTTTGTAAAGGTGAGAAAACTGATGCTCCTACTTTGGCAAAAACCCAAAAAGTAAAAGTAGCATCAGTGCACTGTTGGAGCTCCCGCTCTTGATTTTGTCCACACACAGGCACTGGGCCAAGTATTTCTTACCCTCCTGGCTGGTTAAGAACAGACCTTATGAGAAGCACAGCCTTCAAGGCAGAGGCTGAGGAAGAGGGGAGAGCAGGGGAGGGGGGAGTCCAGGCCTAGAGACAGGACCACCATGGCCTACCTACTACCTTGGTGCAATTTGAAAAGGGACCCCTAACCTGGGGCCAAAATTCAGCAAGAACACGTGATTGGACCCCAGCCCTGCCACTGGGCATCCCTGTGTGGCAAAGAGCTTTCAAAGCCACAGGTAGCAACCTGGATGGTGAGGCTCAGGCCCTGGATATGGTGGGCACATCTTCACACCTGGCTAGCACCCCAAGCACTCAAAGGACTACACCATTATCCAAGAGTGAAGGCTGCCTCTGCCAAAGCAGGAGGGAGGGATCAATCTGCCTGCCTGGGTGGAACTGAGTCCCTTCTCTACCACTTCTTGCTGAGTGTTCAGGCCCTTGGAGACTCAGTTCCCATCTATAACAGGGGCAATGCCCCACTCTGAGCCCAGGCCCTGTTGGAGGATGCTGGGGAGACAAAGTATCCAGGCTGCACATGGCACAGGCCAGTGCCCCATGAAACCTGTCCAGTACCCTGTGGACGTGGCATGGTCTCTCAAGTGGAAGGGACACTCTTTCTAATGGACGGAAGGGCCTTGGCCACTGAAGCATGCCTGGTATCCCCTGCAGGTGTATGTCAGTGCCCCACTGTGCTGCTCGTGGTTTCATGGAAATGGGGACGCAGGAACCTCAAATGCCTCCAGTTTCAGCTCCACCTGTGTTTCTGCATCTCAGGCCCTTCTGCTCTCTGAACCCACTTAGCACTTGGCTCCCAAATTCAGCTGAGGGAGTGTTGATCACTAGAAACAAAAGCCTGAGAGTGCCTGGCAGAAGGGGCACCCCTTACACCTCTGGTGGGTAAGGGGGTCTTGAGCAAGAAGGAAGAGAGATGGCCTCTGAGTCAGGGAGAACCACAAGTGACCTGCTTCTGGATGTTATTGTAGCACTGATTGTTCCCATGTCTACTTGTGTGGAACAGGAAGAAGAGGCCAATGTCCAGTGGATCTCTTGAGCAGAGGAAGACAGAGTTGTCAAGGAGCTCTGAGTGGCTGAGGACCATGTGAGGGGTTGGCAAGCCAGGCCCAGAGAGAAAACAGTGTGTGAGGGAAGCTGACTTGGGAGTCCCCATTATTTCAGGCACAGACAATGCAGGACAACCCTGCTGGCCACGAAGCAGGGCCCATGAGCTAGATTTTTCACCTGGCAGGGGTGGGCTGGGTGGGGCCAGCCCTGGGCTCCCTAGCAAGTAGACACAGCAGCATGGAGGAGAACGAGGAAGGAGCTTTATTGGAGAACGTGGTGACATGGACACACAGGCCTGGCACCCAAAGCACAGCCGGACAGAAAGCACTCTGGGCACCTATATTGTCCCCTCCCTTGCCTGGGTTCGCCACGGTGGTCTCTGGAAAAAGAGCCAGCCTTTGGGGACTCTGTGGGCCAAGGCAGGAGTGGGAAGGCTCCCCAGACCCCCAAGTGGCGCCTACCTCAACTGGCTCACCATTTCTTCCTAAGGCCAAAGGGAGGTGGCAGAGCAGGCAAGCCCCTCTAAGGGGTGAGAGCAGCCAGGAGGCTGGGTCTGGTTATGGGCCTGTATGGGTCTGCAGTTAATCAGCCACAGCGGGTCAGGAACAGAGTGGGCAATGAGTAAGGGTCCACTGGACTCCTGTGCAGCCCAGCAGGTGTTGCAGAAGCAGGAAGGAGAGGCGGGGAGCAGTATGAGCAGGGGACGGCTGTAGGGAGGCTTTGCCCACTGCAGGCAGAGAAGTCAGGCTAGTCCCTCTCTGTGTTGAGGATCAGGGGCCAGAAGGCTCAGGCCTGTGCCTCCAAGGCACGCACATGCACACTAGGCAGGCAGAACCAGGATGGTGGCAGTTCCTTGCTCTTGCTGTCCTCATGGAACCGGATATGGAGGAAGAAGTCGCCAGTGTAGAGGAAGAGGAGGGCCCCAAGGCAGGCTGACTGGCCCGATGGCTGCACCTGAGACAGGAGGAAAAAAAGGCATCAGCCTGGACCAGTGGCACCAAACCTCAAAGCCACCAGGGAACCTCCAAACAGGCCTGGCCCCAGGCCTTCCAAAGCTTCTTTGCTCTGCTGCCTTGGGCAAGTTGCTGTACCTCTATGAGTCTCGGTTTTCATCTTTTAAAGGTACTACCACTTCCCTCCCTGAACTGTCAGGGGGGTCAGTGAGACCAGGCGTGGGGCAATGCAGTGCGACAGCGTGAGGCTGTGCTGATGTCCAATGAGGTAGGTGTGTGTGGGTGGGCGAGGGGTGGGGACACAATAAGCGCTCCTCAGTCCCTCTTGGGGCAAAGTGCTAACACATAATGAGAGAAGCCCAGATCTCCCGACCAGGCCGATCCTAAAGCCCACCACCCAAGGAGGGGAGCTGATGACTTTGGGGGCTGAGCTGTGTGACTGGGGGCTCCGAGACCTCTCTGCCCTGCTACATACTGCATCCAGATAGAAGGTGCTGGAGCCCACGAAGGAGATGAGGTCCTGCAGGTCATAGTTGTGCACGCCATTCTGGTGGTCCTGGAAGGGAACCACAGTGAGGGCAAAGGGCCCCACGCTGCGGGGGCTCCAGTTGGTCAGCCGTACCTCCAGACTCACAGGATCGCCCACCTGGCAGGCCGCTGCTGCCTCACAGTCACAGGGCTGCCCATCCACCAACACATCTGCAAGGAATACAAGACAGTCAGGGGAGACCCCTCTTCCACTCATTCCTTCCCTCCTTACTCACCAAGCTCCCGCCCACCCTTCCCATCAACCTGGGCACTGGGGACACATGTATGTAACTGGGCCCTGCTCTCCTGCAGTGGGGTCTGGTGGGGATAGGCATGGGGACCAGAGCTATGAGCAGAGGGGTCTGTGTCACCCTGGAGGGGCTGAGGGCTCGGGGTCACGTGGGATCTGGGAAGGCCTCTCAGGCATTCCTGCCACTGCTCACCAGGAAGGGTAAGCTCTGGTCATGGCTCCCAGAGCACTGCTAGTGCTCCCTTTTGTCCAGGTGGAGGACAGAAAAAGAGGGGAGAACCATGGGCAGGACTGTGGGGCTCCCAGGAAGGTGACCCATGGGGCAGCTGCCACCTGACTGAGCCCTACCACACACACCTCTTGATGCCTACAGTGCCTGAGGTCAGGGGAGGAGACAGTGGACCAGGGACAGAATGACCTGCTCAAGAATCCCTGGAGAAGACTGGATCTAGGGATAAGGATTCAGAAACTTTAAGAAGTGCCACAGTCTCCTTCTACCTACTCAAAGGAACCAGGCCATCAGAACAGACAGGGCTGTCTGAGGCCTGAGGAGGTGAGGCTCGGCTTTGGAAAGTCCTGGTTCCTTATGGGGGTCATGGGCTCCCCTGCCCCAGCTCCCGGGCCACTTGCTCAGGGTCAAGTGCTCCCTCAGTATATCAGCAGATGTTGAGACTGCCCAGGAGCTCCCAGGTTGGTGGGGGAAGATGGCAGAGTGAAAGGCAAAGAACAGACACCAGAATTGGGTTGCAGGGCCTGAGGTGGCCCAAGGCCTGTCCCCAGCCATATCCTCAAGCTCCCCAAAGTGGAGAACCCACCGCATGACTACCCACAGTCACACAGTTTGCTGGACCTGAGCCCATCTCTGTCCAGGTCCCAAGAGCACCACTGTGCTGGAGCTAGGAAGGGCTGCAGAAATCACTCAGTACCATAACACATTCCAGCATTTACCACCAGCTACTCTCAGTCCCCAGTACACCTGCAGCCACAGTGATGCAGAGCACGGAGTCAAGCACGTCCACTACTGAGATAGCTCAAAATCCAGTGACAGCAAGTGATGTCAGTCAAGAACTGGGCCATGCTGAGACTGCAGTGATGGAGCACTCAGCAGGTGTTCACTGTGGGTCAGAGGAGGGGCCTCTCACTTGACACAGGCACAGGGGATGGCGTCAGGAGGAACAGGATGCCTTTCTCTTTTTTAATACATCTGCTGCTCACCCCACACCTTTGGATGTGGAGGGCTGGAGGCACTCTCTGCTGGGTGACCAGGCTGGGATCAGGTTGGGGTCCCGAGTCCCTGCCAGCTGGTCTGTCTGTAGGGCACGTGAGGACTTCTGGCAGCAGTGGCACACAGCACAGCATGAGGATGGGCTGTTCTATCAACCATGTTGTTTTGCTAGGACCGAAGCATGGCTGTTTCTGTCTGCTGCTTTCTCTCCCAAGCTTCAGCTCTCTTCTGTCAGATGCAGCTGACAGTTGACTAGATAATGTAACTGTCATGCTTCAGGGCTCCATGGGTCACAGAGGGAGGGAAAGGTACAGTTGGGTTCTAGAGAGGCCCTTCTGGAGGGGCACAGTTGCAGCATCACCAGTGTCCCATCTTGGCACATTGTGAGTGTTTGAGAGGCTCAAGTCTTAGGACGGCACTGGCAGCACAGAGGCTTCTGTCCCAATCTCAGTTTCTCCCTGTGACATGAGACACCTGTCAGTTCTCAGCTCTTCTCCCTCCTTCACCTCCGCTCCACTCAGGCCCAACCTTGGCAAATGTGTTCTGAACCGTGGACCTGACCAGGAGTAGTGTGGACTTCTTAAATAAAATGGGGATAGTGGAGAGAGCAGATGTCGGCATGGCCTCTGTGGCTGCTTCCATTAAGAGAAAGATATGATTATGTGTAAATCAGTGAAGGGTAACTGGCTCATTACATTTTTTGCTCTTTTTTTTCTGTCTTTGCAGGGAACTGTGTGGCTGCTCGGGCAGCCTGCAGGTGGTGGCTCTTCTGCTGGCCACCACCACCTTCCCTTAACCCTCCCAAACCACCTCAACACAGTCTGAGGAAGAGGGACTGGTGAGACCTTGGAGTAGGTTGTCCCTGTGACTGGTTTCCTGGTAGACACAGCTCCCAATATACTTTCCTTGCCCCTTTCTCTTAGGAGGAGGAGGAGGGACTTTGGGTCCAAGGTCAAACCAAGGCAGCAGGAGGGCTGGATTCTGGTTGAGCGGAGGCTACACTGGGTCTCAACTGGCCTCTGTCCTGTCATCCCGAGAGAGGCCCTCTGTGCACCTGAGCCTTTTCCAAGAAGTTGCCATAAGGATCCTGACCTTCTAAGGCCTAGGTGAAGTGTGAGGTCAGAGAGGACTAAGCTGTCACCACACTCCAGAAAGCCCTTGCTCTCTGCTTTGCCCCCAGCCTTAGGCTGACTAATCACCCAGGTTTGCCTGGGCTGTCCTATATGCAAGGGAACCCTCAGTGTCAGCCACACTGGATGGCTGGTCACATACCCTAGTGTCTGGCACACACAGTGACTGCCTGTCAAGTGCACAAATCTCAACATGCAGTGCATCCATCTTCCCTCTTGGGCTGGGCAGCTCCTGCAGCTCTAGTACATTGGATACAGGCATATGTGTGCCCTGCCTTCCCAGAGCACTGACTGGGAAGGAAGTAAACTTTCTATGATATGGCAGAGACCTGTCTTCCACAGAGAGGACTCTACTCCTGAATTTCGAAGGGTGCCGAGGCCTGTCTCCCATGGGACTCACAGATACTGTCACGAACTTGGTGGAAGTGACAACCATGGTGATGGAGCTGCTGTGGCTGGGTGAACACATGCAGTAGGGCTGCGCTCACCCAGGGCTGCACCACTAGCATCCTAGCCTGGGAGCCTGATTCCTGGAGGCCCCTCTGTGTGCAGCCCCCACTGAGTAAGGCTGCAAGGAGCAGCGAAGACTGGAGAGAATCTGCTCAATGCACCGACTAGGAAGGGGCTAGTCCTGTGCAGTGGAAAATTGCTGCAGGGCAGGCAGCTCATGGCAGGGTCCAGCTTCAACAGTGACACAAGCCCTGGTCACACTCCCCAGGCAGGCCCCAGACAGAGAAGTGGCCCAAAAGGCCACCAGCCCAACCCCTCAGCTTTCAGCTGGGGCAAAGGACTAGTGTGGACCCACAGCTCAGTCAGGCAAGGTGAGCCAAACCAGGAGCCCTAGCAAGGTGACATCTCTGGGACTACAGCAGATCGGTGGCTAGCCCCTGGGGACAGACAGTGGAGTATGCCCTGGTGCTGTGTGGCAGTTCCACCTTCCTGAGGGTATTCTGCACAGTCATACAGAGCCTGCCAGGGCCCCAGAGTGAAGCTTACCTGTCCCACAGACGCCCTGAGCCTGCTGTCCCAGGTGGGTGGCTTGGCCTTCCCCTCTCTGGTTTCCAGGGCTCCTGTCATCTTCCATTTCCTCATCTCCAAATGGGGCTGATCTATGGCACTGACCTGCCACAAAAGGCCCTGGCACCTGGTAGCACCTCTTTCAGCAGAGTAGGGTGGGCCTCATGTGGTAGCAGGGGCTCCTGGCTTCCCCTGATAGTCTTGGGTGTGAGTCACTTCTCCAAGATTCATACCTCTCTGAGCCTCAGTTTCCTTATCTCTTCATGGGATCATATCAGAACCATTTCAAGAGGGATTTTTTTGAGGATAGCTGGAGGATCTGACCCCGACTCTAGTCTCTGCAGTCCTCTGTGAGCCTGATTCAGAATCCCCTCCATTGCTGGGGCTGGTTCTCCCCACTCACATTGTCCTTGTGATTTCAGTAACACACTATCCCTGCCCAGGTCCTTTGCATCTTCTGCTCTTCAACTGTACCTCCTTTCTAATGGTCACCTTAGCCCTCTCCCCACAGATGCCACCCTAACCACACTGCAAGGGGACTTCCTACCCATGCCAGCTACTCTTCTCTCTTTCTGCATGGCCCTCATGATCTTGCCTGAACGCATCCAGTCTATCTATTTGTTTAATCATTAGCTTTTCAGTGTTCCTCCTTCCCAGGAAGCACTGGGAAAACTGGCCCTTGCCCATCTTGTTCAACATGGTGTCCCCAACACCCAGAACAGCCAGGCTCTGACTGCTGAATGAATGAGCAGAGAAGTCAGTGAGAGAATTCGTAAACCTTGGGGATGAGTACCTAGTTCAAATCTTAGCTCCAATATTTGTGGGCACACAGGACCCCTTCCAGCTCCCATCCCCACACTCCACCTGTAGTGTGAGGGGACTAGAGCTAGAAATGCCTTCCACACAAAGGACTGTGGAGTCATCTGCCATGTCCCATTCTGGTGCCACATGGGTGGTACAGGACGGTCTGCTGTAACAACTCTCCTGGGAGCATATGTATCTTTTCTCAAAGCATTAAATCGGATCACAGACCATCTTCCCTCCTGCCCTGCTGGCCTGGCTTCTCCCTCACTTTAATACCAGCCAGAGTCACGGACTTAAATGGTCTGAACCAGAGTTTCTCCTGCAGTGGCTACTGTATGTACGCTGAGCACGGCAGCTGGCTCCACAGCACACAGGCTATAAATAGAGGACGGGTGGAGCAAGGGCTCTGGGGCCACCATGGTGGACCCCAGGAGAAAGGACACCAAGTTGGTGCCTTGGCTACATGTGGCCACAGGGGGAGGTAGCACCCTGGGCAGAAGGAGGTTGGCCCAAGGTGCCATCAGGAAGGCAATGTGTCTTATGTGGTCCCACATGCCTGGCCTGGCCACACACACCTCATACCCTCCTAGGAGGACAAGGTACAGCTTCCACGGTGGCTGCATAGGGCACAGGTGAAGAGCAGGATGTGAGCTGCTGCATGGGAGCAGGCTTAGAGCCTGGTCCTGGAGACTGGGTTCCTGGGAAGTAGGTGCAAGGGACTCCATATGACTCAGTTGGCATGAGT